AGCCCTTTGGGTGGATGCTGGGGTCTGACCTCATGGCTATCTTCAATTTAGGCTACAGATAGGTATGCGGGGTACCTTTGGAAAGCCCCAGGGCACAATAGCCAGGGTCCACATTGGCCAAGTCATCATGTCCATCTGTATCAAGCTGCAGAACAAGGAGCATGTGATTGAGGCCCTACGCAGGGCCAAGTTCAAGTTCCCTGGCTGCCAGAAGATCCACATCTCCAAGAAGTGGGGCTTTACTAAGTTCAATGTGGATGAATTTGAAGACATGGCTGAAAAGCGGCTTATCCCAGATGGCTGTGGGGTCAAATACATCCCTAACCATGGTCCCTTGGACAAATGGAAAGCTCTGCACTCATGAAAACCTTGGCACTACCCCCTCCCGTCATATTCATGCCCACCAATAAATCCAACTTCCTGTCAAAAAAATAAAAATAAATAAATAAATAAAAGTCATCATATCCACTGCAAAACAAATAAACAAAACTGAGATTAGTGTTGTCCTAAAATAACCATAGAGAACTTCCACAGAGAAGTTCCATAGAGAACTAGGTAATTAAATGATGATCTATCATGTTAGGCCGAACCATATGAAATTTCCTACATTCGGGACGCCCGGGTGGCTCAGTTGGTTAAGCAGCTGCCTTCGGCTCAGGTCATGATCCTAGCGTCCTGGGATTGAGTCCCACATCGGGCACCTTGCTCGGCGGGGAGCCTGCTTCTCCCTCTGCCTCTGCCTGCCTTTCTGTCTGCCTGTGCTCACTCTCTCTCCCTCTCTCTCTGACAAATAAATAATAAAATCTTTAAAAAAAAAAAAAATTTCCTACATTCAACCACTTCTTCCCAGCTTTGAGGAGATATAATTGACAAACAAAATTATATTTAAAGTATACAATGTAATAATTTGATAGACATACATATTGTGAAATAATTACCACAATTAGGTTAATTAACATAACCAGCACCTCACTTAATTAATGTGTGTGTGTGTGCTCATGTTTAAGGATGCTTAAAATCTAGGGGTGCCTGGGAGGCACAGTCAGTTAAGCATCTGACTCTTTATTTTGACTCAGGTCGTGATCTTAGGGTCATGAGATCAAGCCCCAAGTCGGGGCTTACCCCAGCGGCGAGTCTGCTTGAGATTCTCTCTCCTTCTCCCTCTGCCCTTCCCCCTGCTCTCTCTCTCTTTCCTCTCTCTCTCTCTTTCTAATAAATAAATAAACAAAATCTTTTTTAAAAAGTAGGAATGCTTAAGATCTATTCTCAGCAAATTTCAAGGATACAATACAGTATTGTTAGCTATAGTCACTACGCTGCCCATTAGATTCCCAGAACTTATTCATTCTAGAAGTGAACGTTTGTACCCTTTCAAAAGCGTCTTCCCAGTTCCCAGACCTCCCAGGCCCTTGGCCATTTTTTACCTACTCTTGACCATTTCTGACCTACTGACCTCACAAATTCATGTAGTTCAACCTACCATAATGGAATACTTCCCCACCATTAAAAAGAATGAGGTAGGGGTGCCTGGGTGGCTCAGTGGGTTAAGCCGCTGCCTTCGGCTCAGGTCATGATCTCAGGGTCCTGGGATCGAGTCCCGCATCGGGCTCTCTGCTCAGCAGGGAGCCTGCTTCCCTCTCTCTCTCTCTCTCTCTGCCTGCCTCTCTGTCTACTTGTGATCTCTCTCTGTCAAATAAATAAATAAAATCTTTAAAAAAATAAAATAAAATAAAAAATAAAAAAATAAAAAGAATGAGGTAGATGTGTACACACCATTAGGGAAATGATGATATTCAGACTCCCAACAAGACACAGCATTGTGCACAGAATGTTCCCACTTGTACTTTTTAAAGAAACATATGTACATTCATAGACATTTTCTGGAAGTATACCAAGAAAAATGCCAACAATTGCCTCTGAGATGTAGACTAGAAGGTCTGGAGTGAGAGGGAGATTTGACTTTTCACAGAATACCCTCCCATCACTGAATAGCCTCTCACACTGTTCAATATCGTATTATGGGTGCACGATACTTATTTCAGTTAAGAAGTACCTGGATATTTTCCAAATGCCACAATTAATTTAAGATTATTCAAATTATTGAAAACACAAACTAGTATTTACAACACAGAACACTTTAAATACGGTAATTACTTTGGTGGCCTTTTTCATCCCAAACCTAAACTAACCAGACAACTTCATGATCATAAGGCTCTTAAAGGAAACCAAAATAAGTAACATGTTTTAATAATAATGCCTATATATATGAAGCATTATATATAACTGTATAATATATACATTATTCATTTAATAAATATTTTTATTTCTTTTTTAAAGATTTATTTATTTATTTAGAGAGAGAGAGAACATGAGCAGGGTAGGAGCAAAGGAAGAAGGAGAGAAAGAATCTCAAGCAGACTCCATGCTGAGTGCTGAGCCCTACACAGGGCTAGATCTCATGACCCTGAGATCACATCACATCTCATGACCCTGAGATCACATCCACATTGAGTGCAAATCAAGAGCCAGAGGCTTAACCAATTGAGCCACCTAAGCGTCCCAGAACTGCTTTCTGTCTCAAAACCCACTAGCTCTTGGGCTAGTCCTGGTCTCATTCTCCTCTAGACTCTCCCATCTTACATATCTGTGGAGATGATCAAGAAAGCACAGTCTTTTTCTAAAAGATCTTTTCCCTTAACTCTTACCTGGACCATAATTGAACCGGTATTAAATTTAGGAAATTTAATACAGGCTAGGAACCAGTATTAAATTTAGCAGTTCTCACTTTATTAATCCCCTTACTGCACTAGCTCTCTTCCCTGAGAATCAATATGTGTGATAAAGAGATGTAACTGATGAAATCTGTGGCATATATATACAGTCTGGATGGAGGTGAGAGGGGCACACAGAAAGGCTGAGGCTCACCCGTCTCAGGAGTTTTAGGTCTGGATCTCAGCCGTTCATGTATGAAAACACTGATGAAGTTACATGCATTTGTATGAGTTAGTATAAAATGCAGGACTTCTGAAATTCAATACATCTTGTGAAATTTAAGAAATATTTCATTTAATGATCACTATCTCTAATCATGCGAAAAAAAACCGGTGCTAAATATTTTTATTAGAAAGTTAAATGGAAAACCAATAATATATGAACTTTTAAAATTTATTCTTAGTCTTAAAAACTTGCCTTACCCCAAACCATAGATAATATAAAATTTAAAATATATAAACTTAGCTATTACCATGAATTAATGAGACCTACAAATTTTAATTGTACCCCCTCAAATTTGTTGCTTAACTTAACTCAAATTAGAGCCATCTCTAAATTTTCTTTCAAGCATTATAAATGTACTGGTAAATTTTGATACGTTTTACATGGAATTTTAACCATTGCATAAGAATCTATAAAATACGCCACTTTTTAAACCTGCCATTTTGTTCACTAGTAATACAGTTTCATGAACTTTTTTAAAATTGAGATTTCAAATGTTAAAGGCACTGTTAGAAAGTCCCTATCTTGTTTAGCCTTAATCTTCTAAAAACATATTAAACCCAAATCCTTAAGTTATCATAGTTTTTATTAAATGAAGAAATGTCACTATTAAAAGGAGTTACAGCGGGCAGGTAAAAAATGACAGAAGCCATCTTTGACTCTTTGCTAAGTGCATCTTGTTACCACTTGTATGTGCTTACCCCTATTTATTCTAGAAAATAAGGATGCAGGCTTAAAAAAACATGATTTCATAAACATGTAATAAAAGTTCTACTCTCATAGGAGTCCATTGATCTTAAAAAATGAATTCTCGGGGCGCCTGGGTGGCTCAGTGGGTTAAGCCGCTGCCTTCAGCTCAGGTCATGATCCCAGGGTCCCTGGATCGAGTCCCGCATCGGGCTCTCTGCTCAGCAGGGAGCCTGCTTCCCTTCCTCTCTCTGCCTGCCTCTGCCTACTTGCGATCTCTGTCTGTCAAATAAATAAATAAAATCTTAAAAAAAAAAAGAATTCTCATAAAACTAAGTATAAAATTAACTTTTACAAATTTACTTTTAATGAGAGCACACAAGCTCAGTAATTTCATTGGTTCTCTTCAAATAACCTCATTAAAGTACCCCAGTGATAACAGATTTCAAAAGTACGATGTGTTTTAAAGTACGATGAAAACTTAAAAATACAAATAACCCTTCAATGTGGTAAGCATTTCCTCTGTATATGCTCAAGATCTATTTAAAACTCTTCAACTTTGAGCTCTCAAAAGCATCTGCTACAGACACACAAGTAACAGCACATATTACACAAGGCGGTTGGTTAATCTTCATTAAGATAACCATGGCTGTTAAGATCTGAACCCCCGCGCTGAGCAGGAACCCACTACTCAAAAGCCTGGCTTGCTGATGTGTCACGCAGGGTGTTCAACCGCCAGCATCATTTACACAGGCGTCGTGCCTTGACTTCTGCCTTCCAAATGGCAGCGGGAGGTAAGGCTGCTGTCTGCTGTCACCTCCCCACCCACCCTTTCAGAGTGGTCCTGGGGAGGAGACAGCTGCTGCCCGCGGGAAGGGAAGGGAGGGGGCGCGATTTGCATCTCTGGCTGGTCGGCCTGCGCCCGGCTCCCTACGCAAGGCACATACTCCACCCAACCCCGCACTCAGGGAGGACAAAAAAATAAAACAGTCCTTTTAAGTTCCCTGGGTGGGAACTCTCCAGAGCACTTCAACATTTTCCCACGCTCCAGCCGAGCCGCTCGTTCCCTGCTCCTCCACCGCAGCCGCCAGCTCCCGGTGAGCCCACCCTGGCGGCCTCCAGTGCGGGCCCGGGAATCCCTTCCGGCCGCGCTGCGGTCCAGCTCCCGCCGGCCCCGCCCCCGGGTCAGGCCCCGCCCTCACCTTGCGCCCCACGTTCCCGGGATCTCCCGCGCGCGCTCCGAGCGCCCCAGGCGCCTTCGCTCCTCTTCCCCGCCCCGAAGCCTCCCGCCTTCCGCGCTGCCCGAGGGCTCGCCTCACCTTGGTCCGGATCTGCCCCGAGGTGGACACTTTGCGGATCAGTTTCTGGGGTCCCTCTTGCTCCGCTTCGCTGTCAGACGAATCGTCTCCGGGCCCTGCCGACGCAGTGGCGGGGGTGACCGCAGCGCCGGCCCCGGCGGCCGCTCCTCCCGCAGCGCCCGGAGGGTGGTGCTGGCCGCCGGCCCCGGCCATCCTTTCCGACTCCTGTGGGGACACAGCACCGCCCGGCGGGGGCGGCAGCGGCGGTCAGTGGGTGCGCTCGGTCGGAGCCGGGCCCAGAGCCCCGAGCCCGGCCGCAGCCGCCATCTTCCGCTCCCCCAGCCGCCCCCGCAGGGGAAGGGGCGCAGGGGATCAGACGCCCTCCCAGCAGCGGCCCTCCAGGCCCCTCCACCCGGCTCCAGAACGGCAAGCGCAGTGGGGCACAGGAGACGCGGACCCCCGCCCGCTTGGGACTCCTGTGCACCCAGCCTCGGGATGTTACGGGGTTCCTGACCCAGAATACGACCTGCACGGGTAGAGAGCATGGGAGTGACAGAGGGACCGGGGCGACCTACTATTTCCCCTGGGAGCCTGGGGTCCCTAGGATGGACCGGGGGATAGGGGGTTGGGCAGGAAACCTCCGCAGCCCAGCCCCGCGAGTCGGGCAGCGGCTAAGCTCCCTCCCTTGGAGTAGAAAGGGTTCCCTTTCTCCGTTCCAGAACGGCCCCTGGAGTAGAAAGGGAACCTATAGCTTCCTCCCGACTCCCTTTGGTACACCCTGCCACCCCCAGACCTAGAATCTCTCCAGAACCTCGGGCCTCGCCGCACAGTTCCCACTGAAAAAAGCAGTTCCGCCTCCCCAGATGGATGGGCGCTGCCCCTCGTCGGTCTCACGACCCTTCAGCGCATCTCTGCTGAACCATACCTCTCCCGCCTCTGCCTCGGGGTTTGGGTCCTCTCAGCAATTCCGACCGCGGCGTTTAGTTTCTGGCCCACCCCCACCTCCATCCGGCGCACACGGAAGAGAAGAGCATTTTCCGGGAGGTTCCACTCCGCTCTGAGAACTTTTCGTTCAGAAAGAGCGATCCCTTTGGCTAACAGGAAACTGGGAAGGGCGTGGAGAGAGCGCAGAAACAAGAGAGTACACACAGCCCAAGACCACAGAATGCAAAATAAATGTCTAAACTGAAGCGCCAGCCGAGACTGCCTGGAAGAAAACAATGCACCGAAACCATGTGAACACCCTTGCCCGAGCACGAAAACACTGGAGGTCCTGGGAGAGCCACTCCCTAACCCGGACCGGAGCGGGAGGAAATGGGATCAACAGGCTGCGGCCACCGCTCACAACTCGTCCCGAACGAGCGGGCTAAGCGGGCACTTGGGAATAGCAGCCTCGCGGCGGGGTGTGCACGCTGAGCGTCAAAGAACCCATGTAGGTGTGGGAGGGCTTGGGGGAGAAGATACTAAGATGACAGATTCCTCTTGTCATCCTCAGAGAACTCTAAACTTAGCTGTGTTTTTAAGTAGGGCAAAAAGTCCCCGCTAGACTGTGGAGACTCTTCACACTTCAGGAAAGCACTTAATCTCTTCAGCGTGTTCGTGTCCTTCAGTCCCCGTTCCTAGTTTTTCAGTTGATGTGACCTTCTACTTTTTCAGCTGACATGACCTTTAAGGGTCCTCCAAACTAGCATTCTATTGGAGTTTTGTTTTGCTTCTTTTTAGTTGTAATCTTACTCTCAACACTAATTTGATTGCTATGTCAAAACTAACAGTTCGAAGAGGTTAGACGAAACAATATTCAATCCCAATACTATATATCCACATTGCTGATTAAAGTGTAAAATGTGCTGGTTTGAATCTTCAAAGACAGGAGATTGCTGCCTTGAAATACTAACTGATGGAAGCTACTTCTCCAGCTTCTGTTGTCCTCTTTAGGAAGGGAAGGAGCTAGGCAAATTAAACTTTTAAGAGCCCTTATGGTTTTGTAAATATGCGATTCCAGATCTACACAGAACATATTGTTGTGACGGGAATTCTTTAAGAGAAAAATAATCAAAGTAACGGCCTTCAGCCCAACCTAACTGTCTGGTCACTGATGAGTCCAATGGTTTGTCAGTGTAGATAAGAACACTTAGCAAAGGGCCTTTTGAAAGAATAAACCTAGTTCAGACCTCTCCTTTAATGACGGTGAGGCCCCAATCATGAGTTAGGGCCAAAGTCAAAATCAGGTGATCACTATGCTAATATTCTATTCACTTCAGCACACCATGTAACAAAAGTTAGTTTGTCAGTTATTATGTTTGTATTCACACTTTAGGCTTTCAAGTTTTATATAGTAACATGTTCCTGAGTCCAGATAGAGTGATTAAACTGAAACACATTGTTGAACACCCATGCCCATCCTGTGATCTGAAGAAGAGGGCTGAATCCATTTCTCATTCTGATTCAGACAGAGACTGCTGAAAGATACCTTAAAACTGTTTCATGTGCAAGAGCTGGGCAATTAATACCTCAAAGTGAAGGTATTTATATTCCATTAAAAACTTAACCTCAGCTGTACCTGCTCTTCAAAGACTCCTGTAACGAGTTCTAAAACTTGGTTGTGACTTTGAAAGCATAGCCAGTCTTAGCCTACTCATGCTAAATAAATTATCCCTGCTCTACAGTTTCCCTAGCACATAGAATGCTCAGAGTGAAAACAGTGTGTAGGCAAATGAAGGAATGTCACTTCATTTCCCTCAAAAGGCAGTTCATGAAAACCCTCTTTTCTTTAATTACATCTTCTGAGGAGATTGTTTCAAGTAATACCTAATGTAAAGTACCTGATCCATTAGATTCTTTTCAGTTCTTATCCGTAAATTAGAAGTTTCCAGAATGAATATCCAATCTGTATATCGTATACCTGCAATGCACTTCATTTCTGCTAAAAATATAATAGCAATGTCAAGAGCGCCATATTTTCAACCATTTTAATGTAGCTCAGAATGGCAACTGAAACAAATTTCAAATATGTGGCATATTACATTATTTCTTCAATTTACAAGATTCCCTTAACTTTTACCTTACTTGGTGTTTTTAGACTTTATTCAAATAATTTCTTAGATGAGTCTTACATATTTATTATTGTTACTCTGAAATCTGTTTGGTACATAACATATCACAAACACGCTATTAAAACCTTGGACATAAGCCATGCAGACACTGCATTTGGGATGAAATGGAAATAGAAGCTACCACTAAATTAGGTTTCTACTTTATAGGGCTTTCTGCCCCATTTAAAGAAGGAAAATTTATTACTCTGAAGATGTATAAATCACAGCCAATTCTCATTCTGATACCAACTTTGTGAATATTAGCATTCACATATTCACATATTCTTACTGATAGATATTTTAAATTATAGTCTTATTATTGATCATTACCTATAAAAAAAAGTTTAATATCCATTTGCAACCTTTAAGTCCCTTATGGTCTATGCTTTTATGTTAAACACTATATCACAAATATGTAGAACTCTACACTTGTGTACTGAAGAACCCAAGTTGGACTTTCAAACAGTGACATTCTAGGACTCATACTCCTAGTCAACGGGAACCATGCAAAGAACACTGAATAAGTACAGGTCTGCTTTCATTCAAACTTTATAACTACTACCACAATATACTATCTGTTATATATTTGAAAGTCAACATTTAAAACTTTACTCCATCAAAATTTTCTTGGTTGTTACTTGAATAAGAGATTTTAGATTCATCATGATAGCAACTACATGTACCTATGGGCATCCCTGTACCTGAGGCAAAAACCTTTTGTCATCTAGGCCTAATGCACAAATATGCTTATAACCTCTCATTTATATTTTGGCCCCTTTTCCTTTGAAACTCTTCCCTTGCTAATTTTCTATTAGTTTTGAATCATTACATCAAAGCCAAGTAGGTAAAAACCATATGGAAATAAAAAACAAATTTTATTAAGTAAAATGTACCCTAATATCCTAGTGTCACTGTCTGAGGTCTGCATTGTAAATACTCTCACAGTTTCTGAGTTTTGGCTGGAATTCGAGCTACCCATCTCCCCACCCCCACCCTAGGACATCATCTATGAGTAAGGGTTATTTCCTTAAATGTCTTCCCTCCCACCACCAAAATATTTTTGTATTGATTAGGAATTTAGGTAATGCCTCTCTGCCCACAGATTTGATTACATCCCAAAGCTAGTATTAAGGAAAATACACAGAAACCCAAATGCTAACATTTATCTTCTTTTAGGCCTGATGCCCTAGCTGGAGTAATGATAAGGCTGTTTATTTAAATGCCCTCACTTAACTAAATAACTTCATTTTATCTCCAAGTACAAAGAATGTCATGAAGCCCAGTAGCTGACCCTCAGCTCCAGACATGGGTACATTGCAAGCCAGAAGTTCTGTTCTCTTTACTATTATTCAGCATCAATTCCTGAGATTATGTTTACTCATCTGTCTGAACAGTTCTAGGTAGAATCGTATCATCATGTTTTAGGTTTCATCAAAAAAGGACAAAGAGAGTAAATCCTTATAGGTACATCTTTATACACAATAAGGAATAATTCAGGGTCTGTGTGTTGTGAATATTTCCTATTCAATATGAAATATTCTTATTATAAATATAAAGGAGTATACATTTATGGTAAAGTATTAAAATTGTTGATATTTGAAATCAGACAGTAGATTTTCAATAAGTGCCAAACGGACTCCTAGTCAAAGCAGATGTTCTTGGCCCATGGTCTTTGAGGGTCCACGGACTGGGCTTCAGGAACTCTGACCCGCCTGAAATTTTATTATTATTCTTATATGTGTGTTGCATAGATACATTGTGGAGACGGACGCCATAGCTTTGGTTAGATTCTTTAACCCACTGAGCCACCCAGGTGCCCCAAGTATGGTTAGATTCTTAAAGGGCTCATTGACCCAAGATAAGTTCAGAATTCCTGATTTTGATGGATTTTGTGTCCTTTCAAAACATGTTTAGACAAAGCTGATATTTCCTCCCTTCGATTCAAATACTGAAATTAACATTTAAGCATTCTTCCCCCCACCCAATTTATCACCCTGTTTCTTGTCTATGCCACTTTTCAGTAACTTGGGTAACATTTTTTTAAGTAACTTAAATGAGAATTCTTAGACTCAGACATACCCGTAGGACCACAGATTTGCAAATAAAATCACTTCGTCAAAG